CCGCCTGGCTTAGAGCCCAAATGCTGCCCGGAATAGTGCCCAAAGTAGTGCCCAAATGAACTCCTCATAAGGGCCCAAATACATTTCCTTCGTTAAAAGAAAATTTATTTTCTTCGTTTTCGTGGAAAATCATTTGGACACTATTTCGGGCGCTATACGGGCATTATTCGGACACTATTTGGGCACTATCCGAGGGTGCCTAGACACTGCAAAGCCTCGCCGCTCTCCAAATTGTAACCTCTGCGGGACCTGGCGTTGCCTCCAAGCCTGAAAAATCTCACTGTTCCAAACGTTTGCAGAATTAGGGTTTTGGATTTTAGGGGTTTAGGGTTTTAGGGTTTACTTCCCAGCAGAGGCGTTGCAGGCTGGATGCAAAAAGGGTTTATAGAGTTTGTTCAGGCGATTGCACAAGTCCTGATGCAAAAAAGGGTTTTAGGGTTTTGGGCTTAGGGTTCTCACCCAAATCCTGCAAAGCCTCCTCCCAGGACCTCCCAACCTGACAAAACCCTCGACGGAACCACGAAAAGCATGGAACATATGAGAGTTCTTAGCACGGTAAGCAATGCCCAAAAGGAACCCCTGGCTTTTTTCCGTGGTCGGACACGAGTTCGAGAAGCATTGCACGTATTACTGATATACCACCGCAGCCTTTCCGGCACTTGGCGTCGCGTCCCAACACCTCCCCAATCCCGAAAGCCTCCGCCCAGGGCTTCCCAACCCTGCAATGCTTTCGACAGCTTTTCGAAGGCCATTTTCACGCTCCGAAACAGCACAAAACATAGGACACATCAGAGTACCCCCACAGAAACCCGCAACCCCGAAGTATTATGAATTTTCTGCCTTCAAGCATGTAGGGCTATTGATATTGATGGATTCCGTGAATACCCGGTACTGGGCTCAGATCGGCGACAAGCTTAGGATGAAGCGCGCTGCTGCGATCCCTTGCTGCTCCCGTGCCAGAAGAGACATGTAGTTCATGAAGGACCATGACGCAGGCCGGTTTTCCAGGGATTCTATTCAAGGAGTATTCCACGTGCCTCAAGGGACACGGTTTTTCCCCTCGGTCTCATTAGCTCGCCTTCAGTTCTGCACGTATTTAAGGAGTGGTCCGAAAAATGAGGAGGGTTTCCTTACTGTGTTCTGCGCTGTAATCTGCACAGGATGCCCGAAAGGCGTTGGATCCCGGTTTCCAGAGGAGTTTGAAATGAAGTTAGGGTTTTTGGCAGGTGTGATTCAGTTTTGAACCCAAAACACCTATAAACCCCTTTGACAAAAGCCGTGGACGCCAAACCACGACAGGTCGCATGGAATCTATAAGACCAAGGGGCTGCCAAATTGAATGATGCCCGGGTGGGTAGCTGGGGGTGCAGGTTCGTTAGCGGAATAGATACCGCGACACGGACTGTAACATGCTGGGGCTATAATAGTTATCTGCTTTCGAGCTTCCAAGAGCTTAGCTCCAACTAGCTACCCACGTTCGTCGTACCAGTCAATGTACATAGGAGGATGGCGCACAAAGTGGCAGCCAGCTCCGCTGAAGGCTTTGCTTGTCCAGGGTTTGAAGGCCAATCTTGCCTGGCTGCTTGGAAAGCACGACGTTCGAACCAAGTAGTTGGGCTTCCATACTGTCTACTGGCTCATATTTCAATACTTGCATGTGTGGACCTTCGTGGCGGCCGGCGAAATTGCCTTATGCTCTGCTGGGTCGAACTTCCTGGGCAGCGTTTCGGATTTATGGTGTAGCTTTGTTAGCAAGCTATGTATAGCAGAAGTGGGTTTAAACTCCGACTACCCAGGGGGCTGCATACCAGTATTGTGGAGCAAGATGCATAGGCCTTCGTCCCAGGGTCTGGACGGAATATCTGCTTTGCAAAGAAAAGGTTGTCCTTGTGTGTGTGTGTGTGTGTGTGTGTGTGTGTGTGTGTGTGTGTGTGTGTGTGTGTGTGTGTGTGTGTGTGTGTGTGTGTGTGTGTGTGTGTGTGTGTGTGTGTGTGTGTGTGTTCGTTCGCCACTGATGTATTATGTTGATGTGCGATCACAACATCAGCATGCAGTTGGACCTCAAAGACAGCTGTCCATTACTGTTGCGCACTTGGAGAAACCACATGCTCGCATGCTGTCCGAGCCCGATATGTCGATTTGCGGATAGGTTGACTTGAAAGCTAAACAAACCCTAAACCCTAAACATTATGGGGCTTTGACCGGCTCCTAGCTCCGGGCTCTTTGAACGCTGTGCCGTGCCTCCATGCACCGCCGTCACCGCAGTGGCATCTACGGACTGCACCGATCTTCAATTTCCGACAGCAGACGGCTAGAAGACCTAGGACCTAGGTTCGTTTGACGAAGGAGCTTAAACTCTGTACTAGGTACCGATTCGTGATGATGTCTAACTAATGTCTCTTCTTGTTTAATTTAAAGCGCTGATAATACATGATTGTGGGGATTGTTGAAAGCGACACACCTAGTAAAGGGCCCAAAGCACAAAGGAACGATGTAACAGGTTCTGAATGCCAGACATGCCATCCTAAATCTCGGAATATGACAGAGGCAAAAAGTTTGCTCACTTCATTTAATTTAAGGTTCAGGGCTTGTGCTTCGCATTATTAAGTTATTGAGGTGTTCCATATTAGGCTCGTCTGAGGACTCGTCTGTTTCTGGAATTCCTGTACGCATGCCTGGGATTGCAAGTTGCAGGTCTGAGATTAGGTTTGAGGGTTTAGGGTTTGGGATCTGACGTTACAGGGAACCCAGCACCATCTTTTCCGTTTAGAGAGCATTACACGCAGGTTCTTATTCTTGATCGCGCTCTATAGTAGAATCATATCGACTTATAGAAGGTTTCCTCTCTAGGGTTTTATAACTAATGAGATCCAACAGAGGTCTGCTTGCATAACCCCGAGAAGATAAATGCATGTGACAACCCTAGCACAGAGGTCTCACTTGGTATCCCAGTTAGAGATCGATGGCGAGGTTTACGCACAGGTTTTCTGTCATAGCCCGAATCATAAGAGCTCTTGAGGACACTGATAGGGACCGGAGCAACTAGTAAATGCATCCCCCCTCTAGTCTGGGAGTTGAGGCTTCAAAATGCAAGGGCCGGAGTATCGAACATTCGCGAGCATAGTCATAGTCCTGATTGGCATTGGGGCGCAGGGTCCTACAGGAACAGTGGTTTGCAAAGGGCCGTGTTAGAGTGCTTTCTCTTGTAAGGGCATTTAAAGCTCATGACCCGGATTCTTCGAGCACGAGCCCGCATACGCCAAGTAGTCTGACCTGAAAATGAAACGCACATGACATGCCATTCAAAGGGAAGCTAGGGCTTGGGGTTTAGAGCGGTCAGCAGCACAGGGCTGTAGCAACTGCCTGGGAAGGATAGAGGGACTTAGGCTTCATAGGCTTACGGAGCAGATGCGAGATCTGCAAAGTGGTCGGGCCTTCTACGGCGGGGATCTGGAAGGGTGGACTATTGCCGATTCCTCAAGAAAGGCTGCTAGCGAAGCAATGTGCCGTTTGTTTTCTCGCATGGTTGCCTCACACCGCGAGCCATTGCACATGTGTATGTAGTTTCAACATGAGATCCATCCTTCAGACTTTTAGCAGGCGTTCGAAGAATGTTTACTTGTTAATCGCACGATGGCCCTCCATTCCCGCGCACTTTCTGTGATCATGACTTGGCAACCTTGAGGTCAGGCGTGTTGCTAAAGGTCTTCTGATGCTTGCTGCTTCTGGAGCAATCCACATTGCGCAACCATTCGCATGGGCACACCAACTGTCCTTCATATTTGCATCCCTTACCACTGAACTTGCAGCTCTGATGCTCAGCAGAGGTTATCAGATACGACATAATCATAATCATAATAGTAATAATAATAATAAGAATAATAAGAATAATAAGAATAAAAAGAATAATAAGAATAAAGATAATAAGAATATAATAATAATAATAATAATAATAATAATAATAATAATAACATTAATACTAATAATAACAATTATAATAACAGTAACAATAATTACAATAGTAATATGGTTGACTTTCGCAGTCAGTGGTAGAGATGACCGAGTGCGATCATCCAAACGATCCGGTAAGCACACAGATCTATGGCAGGCTCCGATATCCAGAACATTGGGTCCCGAAGGGGTCCAGCGAAGCTGCGCGTAGAACCACGGAGTGCGAACATGCAGATAGGAAGCCGGGGGTTCCCAAAAAAGGATGTGTTATGGTTGCCCTTGTGAGAATGTTGACATTGCTTGCCATGGCTACAACAGCTTTTGAGCCGTCCCCGAACCCAGCTGGCACAAATGCTGGTGCTGGTGGTAGTGGTAGTGGTAGTTATGGTGCTCGTGATCCGGTACCCGAAACGGTGGCCGTAGGGGTAAAAGCAATCTAAACAGCAGCTTAACCGTGACTCACGTCCGTGTTCAGGGCGATGCCGCCGTGTGGCCTGCGGAAGCCTTGCTGGCCGAGGCAGCTGGTGCGGTGTAGCTTTGAACTCTACCATGGCTCGGAAACCAGGGTTTCGCGGACATGGGGTATAGAGTTCATTTTATTGGTTGCGGTTGGCGGTTGGGGTTTGCCGCTGGCTATACATGTATAAGGCTGTTGCACGGATCCTACCCTACTAGTCGTACGGGCAAGTATGCCCTGGGAGCTTGTGAACACACACTAAGATGCATCCCTGAGACCATAACTAACGACTCGAACCCTACAAGCGTTACGGCCTTAAGAACCTGGCAAAAGTACCTTCCATTTTAATGTCTGGGCTCCTTCAAGGGATCTCTAAGGGCTCCTTTAAAGGGATCTCTAAGGGCTCCTTTAAAGGGATCCTCTAAGGGTTTCTATAAGGGAGCTTCATGGGTGAGAGCCGGTGTTTAGCGTAATGTAAAAGGGCTCTATGGCTCTATAGGAGTTTAGGGTTCCTTTAAGGGTTCCTATAAGGATTAGTAAAAGGGAATAGAGGATGCTCCTTGTGCCATTTTGCTTCAAAGAGGTTGCCACGATGGCAAAGTGCATCCCGAATCCGTACATCACAATCGATGTGGCGGAGGCCGAAACAGGCTCGCTTTTCCTTATCTCAGGTGCTATTCACGGTTGGACGTTTATGAACGGTTTCGGGTTTTGCTCTTAAGGTTCGAGTCTGCAGGGTTTTTGCATCCTCCAGGACAACCTCGAAGGGGTTTTGGCTGCAGGTTTGCAGGGCGTTCCTTCGGAATTGCTCTGCCTCTGTATTGTAGTCTGAACCCAAGGGGTTGTTAAGCAATCGGTCGTTGGGCTTCAGGGGCCGAGAGCTTGAGGTTTGGAGCATGGGGCTTGGCTCCCGAGCAAAAAAGTTCTCCGATCGACTTTATCAGGTTCTTGCTTGGTAAGGAACCTCAACAAAGCTCATGTTTGGGATGTAGCGTTCGGGACTCCATCTGGGAACCCAGTCCCACAACCTTTTACCGCAATCGAACACCTCGACATGCATGGGCCGTTCTTCGTTGCACCAGGGCTTCCGGGTTTCGGGTTCAAGGGCTTAGGCTTAGGGAGGAATTCGGGCTTTAGAGGTTTAGGGTTTAGGGATTCAGGGTTTCGGGAAGCTTCGGGCTTCCGAGAGTGTCATTGTGGAGTTGAGGCTTTTGGGTTTCTGAGGATGGAACTTTCAGGCCTTTAGCTGCAATTGCTATGCGATGTAGACCTATCCCTGAGAGGAGGGTTATACGTTACAATTTCGATCCTAGCAGTATTGAAGCCCTGAATAACTTCCCGAGCCTTCCTCAATGAATTATGCAGTACAAGGTTTCTGCTCGGGGTTCGCAGAAGATTCCGAAATCAGCGGCTGCAGGGTGTCTGGGTAGAGGTCATGTTCTGCACTGTCATCTATACTGCAGGCTGGGCTTCGGTAAACAGACATGGTTCCTCGTGTAAGACGGGCGGAGCGTGTCAGGCATTGTTGCTCGGCAAGGCTTGTGCAAAAGGCTGGCAAAGTAGCTTAGAGACGAGTCTAGCGAGTGTTCGCTTAAGTGGGTGGTTGTCAAAAGAGGTCCCTTTTTGCGTCCTTGTTCTAATACGGCACCTAATATTAGGGCACCCAAAAAGGGGCCCTAGTTTTGACAACCACTCAAGTGTTTCATGGCTTAAAGTTGATGATTTCGCAACTTCTGGTTTTCGGACTTGGCTCGTTGGCCCCGATCGCGATTTAACTTTAAGTGTAAGCTCTGAGCTGATTGTTTACCAAGAGCCCTGACTTTAATCTTCCTCCCTAGTCTGGAGCCGCGAACTTAAAAGCCACAAACTCTAAACCCTAAATGCCTTATACCCTGTAAACCGTGTGAGTGGGGAAAAACACAACAGAAAGCAAGCCCTATATCCTTAAACTCTAAACACCAAGAAAACCCACCAAGCGACAGGATCTCTGCCAAACCCAGACCAACACCTAAAACCCTAACCTGCAAACTGTAAAGCCCCCGCAAAATCCCGAGACGCATTCAAAGAAAACCTAGTAACCCACCCTAAACCCTAAACCCTAAACCCAAAACCCAATCAAACAAGCGTCCAGGAAAAAGACCAAGAACTCCAAGAGCACCGCAGGTTGGATCGTCTTGGAAGCTGGCGACGGAGGCGTTTCGGGACCTGCTCCTGGCCAGGTGGGGAGCGGAGTATCTTTGAGGGGAAAATTTCATGGGAGCTCTAGACAGGCGTTCTTTTTGAAGTTGCTATTACGGCGAGCTTCCTGGTTTGAGCCTGCAGTTGTTGGGGTTTCGTCCGGTGTTGGTGGTTATCAGGGCGAGGGTGGAGCTGCTCAGACAGCGTCTGCTTCGGTTCAACTGGTTGTAGTAGTTTGACTGGAAAAACCCAGAGACCTGGGTTTTCTTCCGGTCGACGTCGTCGTGTACCGTCGTCTTCACCAACATCACCACCATCCGGAATCTCAGTCTTCATCACAATCGCCATGGCAATAAAAGGGTAACCATAGCCACACTCCATAGCCACCATCATAGTCATCCTCGTCGTCATCCGTTGCCAAAGGGGCAGTTTTCAAAGAAGAAGTACAACACACCAGAGCAACAATCATGGTGCACAGCCCTGATAACCATGAGTAGCTATGAAAGGTCCAGCAGCAGTGATCAGAAGGAGACGCACAGTACATGCCTACCTTCCTCTACCTGACACCTGTCGAGGATCTTTCGCACCATTGGCAGCTTCTTGCGGCTCACTGTGGCAAGGCGCATCGACCCAAGCTGTAAGCCTTATTATTCGAGAAAGCCTGAAGCCTAAGTTTTGCTTGCTGAAGCATGGGGCACAGACCTGTTTCCCCCAACTCTCAGTGGCTCTGTTTGCGACTGGGGCAGGGCATTGCTATAAAGCTTGGCTTCGCATGTCAGGTAGACGGCCTCTCTGCATGACGAGGCATGTGCTTGCAAGCGTTGTGAGAAGGTTTAGGGCCTATCCGCAGAGGTCTCTGACATGTTCGGCTAAAGTGTCGCTCTGCATGACAGCTGCAACACCGTAGCAACTTCTCGGCTCGGTTAGAAAGCGGAGCTTGGAGATTTCAACGCCAAAGCTTTGATATGCTTTGATCGAGAGGGACCAACCCGTCATTCTGACACGACCGCAACAAAGGCCCACCTCAGGTACACTGAAGCATCACAGAGGGCGTATTTGTGAAACCAAAAAAGCACCAAACCTAAGCCGAAGCCCAGTGAGGCGAAACCGACAGAAAAACACCTCCCCAGTAGACTTCATTATTGCGCTGTGGGGAGCATGGCGACATCTGACTGCCTGTGTTTGCCACTCCAGAAATTGCTGGAGCCTTTCGTGCTTTGGTGAAGTAATGGCTGAGACCGTCTTTCTTCAGATTCTATAACACTATGAGGGTGTTATAGGGCGTGGATCTTGCTTCTGACGTGGCTTCATCAGGGGCATTGAATCAAAGGCTCTTGGGGCGTTCGGGCTTGAGATTCTTTGGACTCACGAGGGTACTTTCGGCGCAGAGCTGAGTCGGACGTGCTTCGGGCGTAGATCTTATTTTCTTGTTTGAGGGGGGTCTTTGGGGCTTCAAGGGTTTAGGGGTTCAGAGTTTCCTAAACCCTAAACAAACTTAACTCAGGCAGGGAGAATAAAAAACGCTTCTGCACACCTCGCCAGGCTTATCCGAGTGTGAGTGCCAAAAAACCCTGGAGGCTTCGGGTCGAGGCTGCCTAGGATGCCCAGTAGTACCCTTATTCCCTTTTTGTAGTCCTAGGTTCCTTATAAAGTTACCCAATACCAAAAAGAGAGGCCTTTTTTATTCTTAGGCTACTGGGTATCCTAGTTAAAGAATGCTCGGAAGCGCTGTTCTGGCATTCGCGCTTGCTCTTCGGGGCTTCCAGGGCTGAGGCGTTCTTTTACTTGGGTTAAGGTGGATGTTTAAATTGCAAGTACCTACTTTTCTAGAGATTCAGGGTTTAAGGGGTGTCCAGTGTCTTAATTTGTTGGAGATCGGGTGACAGAGAAATCTACGCAGTGGGCTTCGGATTTCGTCCTTGGGGCCGGGCAGCATTTGGGAGTTTCTGAAAATTAGGGGTACCTTATTCTGGGACCCTTATAATAAGGATCCTATTATTTAGGGTTCGGAAGTAGGATCCCCGATTTTCGGAAACTCCCATTTGGGGCTTGGGATTCATGTGCACAATCAGCAGGGCAGATATACTATAGGCCGCCCCAGTACCAGCCCCTGGAACCCCGAACTACACCGAAACCCTACGTAAAACCCCAAACCCTCCTGCCTCAAACCCAAGAGCCACGATGTCCCTAAACCCTAAACCTGAGGCCCCCGGTGTCCACACCACGATTTCCTATGCCTCCACGGACGGAGAGTACAAGGACGATGGGAAGAGGCTCCTGGGTCGGAAGCGGGATTTTCAAAGGGGATAAGGAGGGACCCTTAATGGGGACCTTTTAAGGGATCTATAGGGGTTCTATAAGGGTATGGGTTTAGGGTTTGGGGGTTTAGGGGGTTTAGGGGATAAGGAGGGACCCTTAATGGGGACCTGTAAAGGGATCTATACGGATTCTATAAGGGTATAGGGTTTAGGGGATAAGGAGGGACCCTTACTGGGGACCCCTGGGTCCCTAAAATGGGCTATATAATGGGTATATAATAGCTACATTCAGGGTATATACCTAGGGGTCCTTATTAAGGGTTCCTCCTTTTACCCTTGGAGAATTGTTTCACAAAGCAGAAGAGGCAGTAGGCCGAAACTCCTAAAGCCTGTAACCGCTAAGAGGGTTCAGGGCTTCTGGCTGTCAAACCCCTCTCCGAAGGAGATTCTTTAATTCGTTAGAATGACACAGTGTGTGTCTTGGACGTTTAGGATGAGGGCACTTCAAATCTTGTTGATGACTCTTGGGCTTAGGGCGTTTAGCATTCCGGGTTAATTGCTTTTGGCACATTCATGTTTGTCAGGTTTGCCACACCCCCCCCCCCAGGCAAGGATCCTACAGATCGATTCCAGAAGTGTGCCGTTCTGCAAGCTTCAAAGACAGATCCCTTCTTCCTTCAAGGCTGCCAAGGTTTGCTCACAGGCCTTGGTGCAGAATCGCCTAAACCGGAACTCCAGGGACCCCAAATCCTAAAACCCTGAAGAGGCGCCGAACATTTTTCGAGGGTCGAGGACCCGAAGCCACGCTTCGCCGACTCTGAAAGTTTGCGGCACTTGTTTGGACCTCCGAAATAGGCCTTGAGAACCCTCCCGGGCCCCCAGAAGTATGTAGAATAATGGCCTTTAATAGGTATTGGGCCATTGTTGCACCTACTTTGGCGGGTTTCGGTGGATTCTGTTCCCGTGATAACTTTCGGCTCCGGTATCTGAACTTCTCCGGCCATACGGAGCCCTAAACCGAAAGATCTAATATAGGGACCTAATTAGTTACCCATACTATTTTGGGGGGTGCCTCATTATAGGTATAGTATAATGGGCCCAAAACCCTCTTCAAATTATGAAGGCCCCTGTATCAGAGCCCAAAGCCCGAGCAAGGAAGTGCTTCGTGGTCAACGGCCGCTACCGATGCCACAATTTGGAAGCCCATGGATTCGCGCTGATGCGCGCTCCCTTAGAGAAGACTCAAGGCGCCGAAGGGGGGCTTGAAGTGCAGCTTACTGGCTTCTTGTTGAGGCATTTAGCTTAAATTACCATAATAAGGAAACCATTTTATGTACTCTAGATCCCCCAAGAATGGTAATTTGAATTAAGTTCCTTAACAAGAACCCCGCTTAGGTCAGAGTTGTCCAAACTCCTTCAGGCCTATAGACTCAGGGGAGCTCGTGGGAGACGTGAATTTGAAGAAGCCTAAATCCCAACCTTCAAACCCTGACCCTAAACCACATACTGCTTATAGCTTCAGGGTTCAGAGCTCCGAGCTGAGCCCGAATCATGTCTTCCGATGGCAACGCACAGATAGATTAAGATCATAATATTCAGAAAAGAAGTCAAGGCAGGCTGTACCATGCGGAAACCCCCCAAACCCTCAGCCCGGAACCCCTAGGCCCAAAACCGTAAACCTGAGAGCGCAAACCTCTAGATCAAATCTCATCTCCAAAGTACACGGCTTTCCGTCCGAAGCGTCGTCGGGATTGGGTGGCTCATCTGCTCTGACTGCGGACATGGGATGTGCAGTTGTAGTTCCTGTACGGCGTCTCAAATTAGGGCATGGGGTTTACTGCGAGGGTTCCTGTATTGGTTGTGTATATAATTATATGCATGAGCATAAGAGGTCTACTGTTTTTCAGGTTAGAGTGGTTGAGTGATCATACCGCGGACAGCATGCTTGAACGGAAGTTTGATTTCACCACGGCCAGAAGTTTTTCTCCCAACCGAGATGAAATGATTCCCGGATTGCAAGACCCCGACACTGTGTTTCGTAACTGTTCGTCATCGCTCAACACTTCGAAAAGATGAGGAAAGAATGGAAGTCGTCGTCCACCTGCGCTTCGTCATTTGGTAGGGGCATCATGCGCGCCGCACATCCTCCACGCCAAATCTCGGCCCTAGCTCTTCACATGGATCCTATAAAGCTAGTGCTTTCGAACACCCCCCCTCAAAAAATAGAGTTGAGTTTAAAACAACCCTCAAGAAGGACCATAGAGGTCTCTTAAGCAGCTTCCCAGAAATCCTAAACCCGAACACCAGCAGGCCATGACTTGTACAACTACCTGGTGGCGAGCAAGGCTTGGTGCTCAGACGCTGAGGTTCACTGAACCCACAGAGGCCTTCCTAAACGGTCATGCCCTACTATAGGAGCCTTAATAAGTACCAATACGGTTTTGCGGGCCTCCTTATTATAATCATACTATAGTGGGCCCCAAAACCCTATTCTATTTATTAAGGCCCCTATAGTGCCCCTTAGTTGGCTACCTGACTCTATGGTTGTTGTCCCCCGTATAGAATACTGCTGCATGCACATGAAGGGTTTGGGTGCGACCTTTTACGTAGAGCCTGAACCACAAGTGATCCATAAAGCCTTGATGGCTGTCTAGAGTCCAGAGCTCAATGGGCAAGAGCCACTACATAAACGTGCAGTATCCGTTCCCGGAAGCGAAAGGATACATCTTCATTCCATATCTTGGGCCGTTTGCGCTCGGGCCCTATTCCACAGGTCCTACGCAACCCTGAGCCAGTGTTCCCAAAGCTTCCAACCCTTTAAAATCAGACTCAGGACTTACGGCCCAAGTTTTCGGTTTCGAAGGTCGTTGCTTCTCAAGTCTCCAGCAGATATGTTGATGGGAATCCTGGTTTGGGGGTGGGGTCTAGGGTTTAGGGTCTGATTCCTAAGCTCCCTGTCTTTAAAGCCTTGGATACCTGGATCTCGATTGACATCCTTAGTACATCGGGGGTTGGCTCATCCGGTGTTCGCAGTTCGTTGTTTCGGAGCTCCGTAGCAAGACCCTAAACCCCTAAACCCTATAAACCCTAAACCCTATACTTTGGGCTCTCGGAGCTCTTCGTGAAGTGATGCCTGCAGAATTTCGTCGGAACCCACCCGGTAAACCTACAGATTTAAAGTTTAGGGTTATGTGTAGCTGCCAAGATCGCTCTTCCATGGCCGCCAGGTCCTGTACCCTCTGGCTGAAGACGTCCTCCGCCGAGCGTTTCCAACCTCGACGAAGGCGAAGGGATGCGGGATGAGGTTTAGCTTCTGGTGTAGTGTTTGGGGTTGAGGGTTTAGGGTTTAAAGGGTTTAGGTTAGGGTATAGCTTGTGGTTTCGAGTTGGGTTTCCTGAGGCATCTGCGACTTTTGGGAGGATCTTTGCGGATTCGTGATGGTTAGAGCGTTCCAGCTCGTGATCCATTTAGCTGCTTGCCTGTGTCAGCAAAAGGATGTGCAAGCTTAATGGCTTAATGGCACCACCGTCTCTGGAAGTCAAATCCATGTCATCCGTTTTGATGGAGATTTTTTGCGGTACAGGACTCCAGAATCAGCCTCATGACCTTTGCCAGGTTCTGGTGTTCGACCACATCGCCCGCAATGATGCGCGGTATGCCCAGGAGGCGAAAGCCGGCGAGATCACGTACCTTGGACCTGAGGGTCTTGTGCCAGTGAAGTTATCCGAACTGAGGATACTTCTTGCCAGCGTTCGTAGAAGCCTACGGTTCATTTGCGCTACCATCATGCATTAAAAGTTCTTTCAATGTTGGGCCACACAAAGATCCTACCCTCCAGACATGTACAGGATTTGGGGCGTGGGAGAGCTTGCGGGTTACAGAAGAGGCCCACAAGTAAGTCAGATGTGATCTGGTTCTTTTTGCCGTAAAATATCGCACAATTTGTGTGCTTAGCAAGAAGTTGGGCAACTTGATGCCCCTTGTATAACTACATGCGCAGGGTCCATATGTGCGACAATAGAAGGAGTAGGTCCCTAGTGTTACAAAGAGACAGTCGTTCTCCCTTGGTTCTCCTCCTGCGTCCAAGATCCGGAGAGGTGAAGCCCAAAGCAACAACAGAAGGAAGGTGGGTCAGGGGGAAGCGTAACGTTTACCCTTAGTTAACATGCGAAAACAAGAGAGTTTCGTCTCGGAGGAACTTTGTGGTAGGATCCCCATTAGAATCCTTATGAAGCAGTGGTCTACTTCAGTTTAGCACTCCTCACAACAAAAACAGGAAGATGTTGGCATCATCCTACGCTTTCCACGTGCATGGCGACTACACCGTGCGATCAGGCAATAGTTGTTTGAAGCTGCTGTCAGTTTGGGTGACCGCATGCATCAGATATGGCATAAACAGAGTTACGTCGGAAGGCCGAGCAGTATTTAAGCTAACAGGGGTTAATCACTCAACCCCAGCCCGCCCTGTTGCAGGAACCGGATTCAGAAGCCTAAGTGTTCATAAGTCTTTTACGGTATAGAACCTTAGTTCAACCCTCAACCTCTTAAGCCTTTAACCCCTCCTGTTAAGCCAAATTGAGCCAAACCTCCCAATCCGGCCAAGCCGAGGCCCCGAATGGGCCGAACCAGTGAGGTTTAGGGTATAGTGGTTGAAGGGTTAGGGTTCAGGGCATGTACAAGTCTGTGCAAAAGTGGCACAGAGGTTCCCAGGTTTCCATTAACTTCAACCCGCCACTCAAACCCGTGAACCTTGAATCCTGACCGCATGTAGTCGGACAGGAATTAAAACAACATAACCCCAAACCCGGAACTTGTTCCTTCAAAGAGAGGGATGAAATTCCCGTAAACCCCAACCCCTCAAATCTCGAACCACAAACTCTAAACCCTACTGTAACCCCTAAGGCTTCCGTGGGAGACCTTAAACTTCACCGCTACCTTCTCTGCAGGCTTCAGTCGAGCCAGGTCTCTCCTAGAGCCGCACGAAGATTCGGGCCGCATCGAGGCCTAGCTCCTGATCCTCGAAAGCACTCCCTGCGTGGGTTGTCCTTTGGGATCTTTTTTTGAATTTCCCCTGCCATTTTGTAGAGAACCATAACAGTAAATAATTTTCAAAGGGCTTAAGGGACAACTCAGTCTCTGGGTTTTGGGCTTTAGAGTTGAGGTTTCGGGATCCTTCTGTCGCATTTCAAAACACACCACGGGTGAACAGGGCTGCGTTTGAGAGGGCGTTATATAGGTCCTGCACATCAGTTCGCACACTCCCGTGCACTCTTTGGATCGACGACGCAAGATTCTTGTTCGGGCACAGGCCGCGATCCAGCAGCGCTTTGCCTTCGTGAACGTTTGGGTGCCGCTGAAGAAGGTGCACCAGAACCAGTCCCCATCAGGAGAGACCCAACCCTCATGGACCTTACCTGCCAACTCTACAGGTCCATATTGTTCGGGAGTGCCCGAGGATGATGTCGCGGGCTTGCTAGGGGCTCAACGTCTGCGGTACACGATAAACTCCTCTACAGCCCCTACAGCATGCGAGACTCCTACAACCTAAACCCTCGCTCGAGCCCTGCAGGTCGAGAGGGATCCCCTTGGCATGATCGAGTGGAGCAGCCAGCGACCGCAGGACGTGGTCTCCATCAAGTGTCTCGGACTTTCGTTCAGGCGAAGCTCCCGCCCGGAGCCAGAATCTGAATCTGAAATTCTAAAGCCTCAAACTCAAATGCAGGAAGCACGCAGGGGGCTTCGGATTTTAAGTCCAAGGACTTGAATTTGGGAGTTTCCAAACAACGGGGTACCTTAATTGGGGTCGTTGTAATAAGGATCCTACCATTTAGGGTACTATTTTAAGGGCCCCTATTTTCGGTTACTCCTGTATGATTCCAGACTAGAGCTGGCTGGTTGTGGAATCAACTTCCACAGAGCAAGGTCGGGGTGAAAGTGCCTTCTGTAGTTGCGGAAGCTTCCTTGCAGGGCAAGAATTTCAAGCGGAGGGGGGGGGGGGGGGAAGTTGTGGGTAAGAGTCCTCGTCTTGAACCCTACAAGCCAAAAGTGCCGGTTGCACTCCTCAATTCGGTAGAAATCGGCTCCCCGGAAAGCTCAGCAAACCTGGGTCCCTCTGAAAAATTGTACAATCGGGTTTGTAGGGTTCTAAACTGCTAGTACAAGGGCTTCACCAAGGGCTTCTTTGGAGTCTTTGGGGTCCAAATCTGCACAAGTCTATACATATGTTTGAGTTTTCAATCTCTGGCTCAAGACCCGGCTACACGGTTTGGACTACTTGCTCCCGCACCGGCGATTATTTGCATGAAGTCCCCTTGTTTGGTTATTTTCTCACTGCATTTAGGGCTTGGGCTCTGGGTCCTACGTGATCGAAAACCTCCCGAGGTTCATCTATCCGCACCGCACCGGAGAGATCTACAGGGTGCTGCCGTCGGACCACCACCGGTGCCTCGCTCCCCAAACCTCGAAGCTCCTGGCAGGTGTACACAAGCAAAGATCAAGTAAGCTGCTGAAAAAATGGTAGATATTAGCAGTCAGATATCCTCTTGTAAGCTTCTCACTAGTCTTTACATAAGCATACTGTGATGCCCCGAAGAAGTTGGGAGCCCAAGGCTGCTTAGGGAAGGGGCCATTTCCTGCCTTTTTTAGTTTGTAGGATCTGGGGGCTACAAGTGGGAGTTTCTGTAAATAGGGGACCCTACTATGGTACCCTAAATAATAGGATCCTTATTACAAGGACCCCAAAGTAAGGTACCCGTATTTTGAGAAACTCCCAAGCACATACCCAGTTCAGCACTCCACACCCCAGGTGGGTCTACTACCCGGACATGATGCCCGGCGAGTGCTTGATTTTTAAGGCCGGAAACTTAACCGACAGTTGAGACGGGTCTGACTTGCCTAAACCCTGCACCCTATAAGCCTAAACAGTAAGATGTATCCGAAAAAGCTACTTAGTTTCAGTCGCGAAACTATATTACCCAGCTATGGGAACCCACATCCCGCGTCCTGAGGTCTAACACCCTAACTCCCTAGTACTCTATGAAATGCACTCGGGTGTAGTGCCTGTAGGGTGTGTAGGGGTTTAAGATTTCGGGTTCGAGATCTTTTGTTGCTCGTTGGGGTCTTCATTTTGGAGGTTCCCTCGCGCGGTGCCTTGGCGTTTGGGTTTAAGGTTTGTCGGGTTTGGGCTCCAAGCTGATGGGTCCGGGGTTCTTGACTAGATACCCTAAACTCTATGAAACGTCGAACCTACTTCTGCAGACCTTGCCAGGCTTGTCCGAGTGTGAGTGTCAAAAAAAATTAAAACCAGTGAAGCCCTAAACCCCTCAAAAGGACGGAAACACAAGGATCCTCTCTGTGGGGTATTCGGAGAAGGTCTCCAAACGACATGGTGTTGTCAACATTTGGGCCAAGCTGTAGTGCTTGAGACAGGGTGCCGTGTAATGTAAGCGTTTCGAGCGCAGGTTTTCGACTCGGCCACAGATGGGCGATCCCGCTTCTCGTTGCATGCGGCTTTCCAGGTGGCTAAACTGAATGGGTCAGGGAACATCGCCAGAACATCATACGTAGAGATTGGGTAAGGTAAGGCCAGTGAAGGTTTCTGTACCACCCATTTGATGATTGCTACGTGCCTGAACCCCGTTGAAGCAGGTTGTATTGGAGAAGGGATCCAGCACTTCGGACTTTGGCAATGCTCTCCCATAGACCCAACTGAGTCAACTGAAGGTCCGTGAGCTTCAGCGTAAACCTCCCGAGACTCAAGGCCTGAAGCCTGAAGTTCCTTTCAAGGTTCCTTTAAGAGTTCCTTTGAGGGTTCCTCCAGGTTCCTTTAAGTTGCCACAGGGGTTGAATGTTGAAAAAACAAACACAGCAAGCAGCCCCTAAAGCGTAGAAGCCGCAAGCTGCCTCCTGTGGCCAGGATCCCAACTGCCAGCCCGATGCGCCCAGCCGGGAAAGTATCGAAATGCGATGCGTCGTCTTCTTCGGCCGCACCCTCTGCGCTTCAGAGTCGCGTAGTTAATCAGAAGAATCTTCAAGCTGAAATCCCCCAAACCGGAAGTCCCTGCCCCCGAAACTCCACTGAGGATTACTTCGTTCGACTGAACCATGAGTCCACTTGAACACAGCAGAGAGTGTGGAGTGCGGCTTCACACACACACAGAGCATCTGCTATGTAGCGATCTAGAAGAAACTTAGTTAGATCTGTATGGTAGGCAACTAGCCAGCTAGGTATTTCGTTATGCTTCGAAGCTTTAAGAATTGGGATCTTGTGAGCGCACTTTCTGTTCTTTGGGGCTACCGTGTTGATGCAATCCGATGCGGTGATACTTTCAGGTGACTTGCCCAAGGACTTCGCATCTTCCTTTGTTGCACCGCCGATGCCTCAGTCGTCACGCCACGGCGCGGGGAGGTGCAGAGCGATTCCTAAGCCCATCTTATGTAATTAGAGACAAACCCCAAACTCGAATTGGACTTGGGTCCGTGGAGGGCGTGTTGGTGCCATGCACACCCGCCGCATCGTAATCGAGCTAGTGAAATTCAGGCTGCTGTTGTCCACACTCCGTGTCCCCAACTTCGGAGCAGCAGATCGTGGATTATGACGAACAATCTTTCGTAGACAGTGGCTTCCATTTAGGCAGTCTCCCACGAGAGCGCATAATTTGCCGCCCTGCTTCCTGGGTCTCAGCACAGCAATGCAGCTGCCAGAAGGTCGCCACTAAACTCAACTGCTTCTTCGAGCCCACGCCTAAAACCCGACTCTGTCAACCCTGAAAAGTCAGTGCGGCAGCCTAACATGGATGTACATGCCGCTTGTTGTGAGGCATCTGCTTCCGGGAACGGATTGCTGCGCCATGTCTTGCAAGCTTGAAGGCAGTGAAGGGCAACAGACGTCAAATCGGGAGAGCAATGGTAGTGCAGGTGGTGGTAATACCGAGTACCCAACAGAAGTTTTATGTATTGCTTACAAAGGGTACTGGTTTTGGCATTATTCAAGATCATGAACTCCACGACCACTCGTTCTCATCAGCATCACCACGGCGGATTTCCCACCGCCGCCATCATCATTCCCGTCCAACCAAGTGCAACCAAGCATGGTTGAGCGATTCAGTGCGCGGGACGTGTCGCGGTTCACTGCATTGATCCGGCGGATAGCGCAGAATTCCTCCTTCCTTTCTGTTTTCCCTCACCCAAACCTCCATCGGCATGCCTGAAATCCAGCCACTGAGTCTCACAGAAAATCCGCAACACCTACATTGGAGAGTCCGAGTTGCAAAAGCCCAAGACACCTCTGTAGAGCCTGGTAGCGACATGACAATCCTCTCCATCGTCGTAGTGGTATATAAGCGTGAATTACAGTAGAGGATCAAATCTGTAGGTTTGGAGTTTAGGGCTGAGGCTTTGGGGTTTGAGGCTTTTTCTGTTTGAGGCTTTCGTCAAGCTTTTGTGCCTGCCTTTCTGACACACGTGTTTCAACCTCGTAGGGTCATGAAATGTCTTGGCATGTTTCTTCCGCCGAAGTTGTCTTCAAGTTAGTCAATCCTGGAGTCTCGCTTCCAGGCATGTGCCCCAGCAAGATTCCATGTTGTAAAGACCCAACGTAGGAGCCCCTAAGTTTGGAAAGCATAATCTTCAAGTTCGAGACTGTGGTTCTGTTCTCAGTTTGGGAGTTAAGGCTTGTTGCCCTCCCGCAGCGGTGCACTCGAGGCCTCAGTTCAAACTTCGTAGCACCCTAAGGGGTTTAGGGTTTAGGTTTAGGTTTCGGGTGCAGGCTGTCGCTGATGTCTGTAATTAAGCTTTAGACTCTCGAGAATGAAACCCTACAGCCTGATTAAACCCGAACAGGACACCCAAGAAATCAACAATGCTTGAAACCTAGGACCCCAAAACACAACCCAGAAGCCATGCAACCCAAAGCCCAAATGGGAGTTTCCGAAAATAGGGGACCCTAATATAGTACCCTAAATAGTAGGATCCTTATTGTAAGGACCCCCATATGAGGTACCCCAATTTTCGGAAACGCCCAAATCTCTGAACCAAACATCCGCATCGGGGATTGCACTGCAAGGTATGTCACCTGAGCGCATTCCGGTCTCGGGTCCGAGCAACGAGTGGTGAAGCTGCATCGCATAGGGGTTTAGGGTCTAGGGCTTAGGGTTTAGGGAGCATATGGTACGTAGAGAGTAGCTTCTAGGGCTAGAGAGTACAGTGAGCACGAAAAATCGCATTGAGTGCGACGAACTCTCGAGCATGTTCGGTAATAGTGCCAATGTATAGGGTCTACGATACTTACGCACGGCCAAGAACCCATGCCGCACAAAGGAGAACGTATTTATCACCAAACGGAGCGGCTATGAAGCTTAGTGGCTCAGAGGCTGTACCAGGTTGTACAAGGTCCAACAGCATCGAGAAGTGGCATTTAACGGATCCACAATGAAAACACTCTGACCTCTGGCATTTGTTCGTGAGATGGCGCACATCCACACCCATGGTATTATAGGTTTTTTAACCTACAGTACAATTGAAATCGCGGGCCTTTGCAACACATAGCATAAGCGCAGGTTGCGGGAGCTCCCATGCTGGCGATGCTGTTTCTAGCTCGTTGAAGTTTGTCCGATGTTGGGTTTGAGTTTGCGGAGATGATTTATTTGACAAGATACCTGCGACGGAATCCTCGTGTGCCATGCGAGACGAGAACCATGTTCTGACTGCACGCCAACTGCTGCGGCGGCCAGTTTCTGAAATAAACCTTCGCGGCAACCAGCGTGGTTTGTCCAGATGGGTAGTTCCCTAAATTAGGGTCGGCTTTGAAGGTCTTTTTTGCAAGTGTCGTAGTATTCCGGGGACGAAAAAATGGACCCTAATTTAGAGAACTACCGGGCGTCTAGCGAAGATGCCCCGTACTGGAAAGCGGCTGCGCTGAAAAGGATTGGCTCCTCCCAAATCAAACGACCTCGGCAAGAGAAGCGAACATCTGTGAAGAGAAGACCTTCAAAAACACAACCTGGCCTTGATGCTCCGATCCCTTGAACCCTACCCACCGCAAAACCCCAAACAATGTCTCACATTGTCAGACTCCGAACCTTATGCCTCGCCTGGATTGTCCGAGTGCGAGCGCCGAAAACCCTAAACACTAACCCTCGACCCAATGACGGATGCTCCATCCTCACCTTTCACCGCCAATTGCGCCGCTTCGGTGCCGAGAAGGAACTAAGGTTGAACTAGGTCACGTCATTCGTGACCTCGCGAGGGTATTCTTTGGGATTGTGAGTGCGAGTTTATTATGCTGTATCTGGGAGTATATGTTGGCAAGCCTCAAAGGCCCTACTACCCTAAACCCTACGAAACCTAAAACTCTGTGGGGTGCGGACAGAACAGCAGCTTCGTGATCACGGATGGGAATTTCGCTCTCAAGGTTCGTCCCCTCGGTATAGAACGCTGCGAACTGTGACGAAATGATTCTAGGTGTAAAATATGAAATTATGTAATTGTGGTTCAGGGATGTTCAAGGGTAGCAGCCGGAATCCTGTTGAGAAGGCTCTCACACCAGAGACTTGTCATTCGGGTGTTTGCCATCGGGTAGTGGGCCGTGGCTTTCGGAGTCCTTGTCGCTCAGGATGCTGGCAGTGAGGCCCATTGTACAGTGTACAGTCATACCAGGACCGACCGGCCAAAGAAGACAAGATCTGCGCCCGTCGTACTGGGTTCCAGGTTACTTTCTGCTTTCCAACTTCGTCTCTGCAATCCCTATTCACTGAATCCCCGTCGTCGTGTTGTAGGCACTTAGCAATACTGTGCGCTCAACCCTTCTACTTTTTTCTTTGTATCGGCCTAGGGTATACAAGCTTAGCAAACATGGAGCCCTCAATCTACAAGTATGAGTGGGAGCGCACTGGGGATCGATAATGATCTACCACTTTCTCTGTGCGACATGCATTCTAGACAAGGCGAACTTCGCCTATCCAGGCACACGTCATCAACCCTTCCAATGTGTAGCCGAGTATCGACAGCAACGGTTGGGCAATGTTGAAGATGCTCTTCAGCCAGCCCAGAAGGCATCACATCGGGTAATGAAGTTGCAATTGTCGATGTCTCGCCAGGGACAAGTCCTCCCACCGAGCAGCTCTGTACTCCGTATGGCGTTCAACCTGGATAATAATGAAGTGGCTCCACATGGGTTTGCCTACTCCTTCCATCCTGTCTGCTTCTTCTTGAATCTTGAGCCCTCCTTCAAGACATCACGCGTGAATTCGACTTGCCTTCGGGCGGACATGTCATTATGTCTGAAACGCTGCTCGTGAGAGGATAATCCAGACTAGTTGTACTGGGAGGCTTCAGGATTCTCCGACATTCGGTATTTTTGGAGACATTGTAGACATGCGTTTTGGTTTGTGTGAGGGCTCCCGGCCACCCAATCCGGCCCACGGGCATGTCAAGAATCCGGGCATTGGCCTTCTAAGTCTAAACCAAATAAATAATACCAATACTAAAAATTCCAATGCTATTTAGGGTTGAGGGTTTTTTAGGGTTTGTTGTTTCGGCTTGGGGGCCAGAGTCCCAGCCACCCTTTCTCAGCCACTGAATCGGCGAGTCTTTGACAGGGCTTGGGTTTAGGGCGGCGTAAGGCTATATATCTAGCGCGTGAGCTTCATGTTTAGTATCAGGCACGCAGCGAGGCGTTTGTGAATAAGCTTCGTGCGAAATGCCACACAGCCTCATGTCGGCAAGTGCTGCGATCAGCCATCTGCAGGTTAGCATTGAAACATGACAGTCGACATGCAGTGGCTCGACGGGTTGACAGCGGGGTAGATACAGATGACATGTGCTTGAGGCGCAGTCTACATGAGCTATATCTTTGAACATTTTCGAATCGGAAAAGCAAAGTGCATCAGTCCATGTCCGCTGAACAGTGCCCTGAACCTTAAACCCGAAACTCGTTGGCACTGGCACTTTGGAGCACGCGGTCGGACGGGGCATGTCGGTGCCACGATCTCGGAATTCAAGCTCGGAGCCCCAGGCCACGGACCGTGAACCTGACACACATACATGGGTGGTTGCATAGGTTTTTTAGAAAACGGATTAGTGTAGACTCTTTTTCCCCTAAGCTCTAGTAAGATCCCCATGCTAATCCTCATTAAACGGGGGGTTCTATGGTTCAGAACGGAAGCAGAACGGAAGCAAGACGAGGGGAAGGCAAGTGCCGCAGAAACAAACGTTTTTAGATCCCAATATTCTTCCACAGGGTTCCCTTTCATTTCCCTATCATGAAGTATAGCCGTATGTATAATATACCCCAAACCCTATTCTGAACAGGTATTACGGCCCCTATGCTACCTGACAGTGCGCTCCTGTTCTGCATCAGCTTTCCTCTCGCAAGGCAAAGCAAAGACGACAATTTACATCGGCAAATGCTAAAACATGTATGATGGGCAAGCGGCAACTGAAGCCT